GTTTCGCGGCACGCTGTAAGTACAAATAGAAAATGCTCAAGTGGCATTCTGGGTTACGTTTGCGAGCAAATATTTGAACGTTGACACCAAAAACGACAAAAACCTAGCTGTCAGTCATAAATCTTGACGGCGGCTACAGCAGGGGCAACATGCACGCCCTGTCGATACTCTACACCTACGACAACAACAACAACAACAACAATGACAACGACAACGATGGCGACAGTTGGCTTTGAGCTAATCATTAACAGCTGCACTAGCAGCAGCGACAACAACGTGGCGGCGTGTTGAAACTGTTTGTCTTGCCAAATGGGCAACAGGGGCAACTGTTGCACGCCTGGGAGCGAGTCTTCAGCTCGTGTCTGGGCCTGACGATTGGAGCGAGCAACGCAGCGGGCAACCGCCGCAAAGTCAACTGCAGTGACAGTTGCCAAAGGCTCGCTGAGTGATTGGATCTGCTGTGGGGCAGGACTGGCTTGGGCCTGTCTGTAGCAACAGCTCCATTAGCAGTAGACACTAAAATTTATACTAGAGGGAATACAGCTATAAATAAATTACTTTTTAGACCATCTCAGACCTAAAAGAAAAGAGAGATGTAGATTAAAAGCGCCTGACAGTAAAACTGTATTATCAATTATTAAATATTTTTTTAATTTTTGGTAGAGGGGAAACTTAAATTTGAAAAGTAAAGGGAAAATTATATATATAAATAAAATGTAAGGATATTCAGAAGCATTTATATATTACATTTCAAGACAAGAGGTTTTATGCTAATCTCTGCAGTAGATTCTGACAAAGTATATTCGTAATATTTGAGGCAAGCCATACCTTGTCATTTTCAATTGCAATGACTTAAATATGATAAAAAAAAAAAAAAATAAATAAATAAGAAATAGTAAGCGAAATATGCTTTTATGACGTGCATGTATTTATTTAACAGCAAAATAGAAATTTTTATTTTATATGAAAAAAGAAAAGAATTTTTGTAGATCCGTCGCAGAGTTTCAATAACTATTGAAGTTTGAGCTCAAAGGATTCTTAAGGGGACTTCAGGAGCGTCGCGCAATCCTTGGTAATCTTCCTGCATTTGTCATTAGAAATGCGAACCCAATCTAAATGAAAGTACAATCAGCAGTTAGTAAATGTGAGGGATTGTTAAATTTCAGTTGCATTGCTTACTTTCATTTCTGACGCATCGCTGTTTGGTCAGCTCGCATCTATTGGCAAAGGTGCACCTGCTGATTATTCGACCGCGTTTCAAGGAGGCACAGACGGGCTTATAGATCCTTTCGCATGCGCCTGGGCAGGCAAGCCTCGGTCTACTGGCACTGGAAAGCGCACACATGCTGACAACGATAAGCAAGAGAAGAGTCACAGATTTCATTTTGAATGTAGTAGCTTGAAGACGAAAGTTACTTCTATAATTTCCCTATATTCGACCCTGGTTTATATACAGCTCAAGAGCTCTAGAGCTGTTGCATATTCTATTCATTGAAAAGAATAAAACACATGCGAGCTGCGCTGTTTCGGGTTTTGTTTATGAAGAATACAAGTTTCATTTAATGCTCTGGTTGTCCATACACCAATTTGACAATATATTGTCAGAATTAAATGCTACACTTGTGGGCTTCTGTTGTGCCGTCAAGTTATTGACCTCGACTTCGGCTGTATGTGAAGACAGAGTCATGTGATGCGAGCGCGACTGCTTGACGGCACTTGACAGGCCGCCACAGATTTATTGGCAAAAACCGCACGACGGCTGCAGCAAGCTGAGCAGCAGCAGAGACGAGCAAAGTGAGCAGCAACAGCTATACAAATAAATGGCGTTGCAACACTTATGCCGCCAAAAGCACCTGCAGCAGCGGCACGGCAGCAGCAGCTGCTGTTATTCTTCTATTGATGGCAAACGATTTCGAAATGTGACTTTGAAAAAAAAGTGCCAAGAGACAATGCCTGAACTCTGACCATGCGCCACAAAAATTGCGGCTCTGGCACAGACAGTTACCGTTTTAAATGTCGCACGATCGGGCCATGGCGAATGTATATAGGGGTCAGCAGCGAGTTGAGCTAATTTGAGGTTGCCTGGCGCAAAACGTGACTGCGCTTTGGCTATTGAACCTTGATGCGGCCGGCAAATATTCAGTCCACAATTGCAGCCACAACAACCTACTTAAATGATAAATACAGGTTTCACGACCCGGGACACTTTCATTGCTGCTGCTGTTGCAGTTGCAGTTGCTGTTGCGGCTATAAAGTTTCCTCCTACATTTCGTCGCCGCACGTCTGTCTGCGTAAGCGTGGTAGTGCCGGCGACCGTCTCTCTGCTCTCTGTGCGTTGCCACAAGGCCCCAAAAATCTTACGCGTGCAGAGATAACTGATATTCGGATGGTGTGCATATCGTTTTACGACACGCTTTTGCAATTACTCACGGCTCACAGCTCACAGCGTACAACTGGCAATATTACGCATACGCCACGCCAGCCAACCACAGTTTCACTTTCAGCAGGAAGCATTCAGTCGCGCACCTGCAGACGCGAATTCATTTCACAGTGCAACAAGAGGCACATTCATTGTGCCACAGCCACCCAATCAGGATAGCAAGTCCCAGTCCCAACGTCGACTCCAGTGCGTGCCGCATGCAAGCAACTTTCTAGCTGGCCCAAAACTTTACCTCGGACTGCCCGCTGGCTCACATTGAATGCGCACATTGAACTTTCCATCAGCAATAAATTTTTAAATTAACTGGCGGACCAGTTAAGTGCCAGTCCACTATTTCGCATTTGACAAATTTTTCACGCAAAAAAATGCAACGAAAAAAAAAAGAGAAGAAAACTATTCAAAATCTATGCAGTCTTTAGCGAGCACCCTAACTAAGCGAGATATATTGAGAGTTTGGCTCATAATAAATGCGTTAACAGCGGCGTGTATTATGTAAATAAATGCTAATTTATCGTATTGTTAGTGTGGAGAATTAATGCGTTTTAAATATTTGAAAAATCTTACATTCCATGGTTGTTAGACATGCGACCATACATATAGAGATTTATACTATATGATGGACCATACAGTAGATATTTATCTTATCTTTGAAAGTGTTCATATATATATATAAATATGTACATATATATCTATATTTATGTGTGCATACATATACAAACAATTGAACGAATACACTTTACTATGATGTTGTTTAGTTTCGTATTGATCTTTATTATTCTGAGCCTGGGTTTATATACCCAGACTCATGTATA